TCTGAAGTAAACGGACTTGAACTGTATGAACTTCACTTGCATGCACCCGACTCGGCTGTGCACGTCCTGTCAACGCGATGCTATGAAAGAAAACACAAAAGCATCTAACGCGAGAGCCGTCAGCCATGAGCATCATCAGCAGTCGCTCTGAAGTCCAAGCTCACACTCCAGAGCGCCTTTCAAAGAAAAAAGGACAGAAGAGCGAGGTTGGCAAGAAGACCTTGGAGCTTCAAAGAGCAGAGAAGCACAGTGAAATCTGACCGAAGTGAGTTTCGCACGCCGGGAATAAAATTACCATGAAATTTGCGATGTTTTCGCACGCCCGGCATTGGAACACCATGTGATTTTTGCGCAATCGGTGACCATGGTATTTGCGATGGTTTTGGAACCAGCGAATTCGGGGACCGTGGTATTTGCCATGGTTTTGGAACCTGCGAATTCGGGGACCATGGTATTTGCGATGCTTTTGGAACCAGCGAATTCGGGGACCATGGTGTTTGCGATGCTTTTGGAACCAGCGAATTCGGGGACCATGGTGTTTGCGATGCTTTTGGAAACAGCGAATTCGGGGACCGTGGTATTTGCCATGCTTTTGGAACCAGCGAATTCGGGGACCATGGTATTTGCGATGGTTTTGGAAACAGCGAATTCGGGGACCATGGTATTTGCGATGCTTTTGGAACCAGCGAATTCGGGGACCATGGTATTTGCGATGCTTTTGGAACCAGCGAATTCGGGGACCATGGTATGCGCGATGGTTTTTGGAACCAGCCACGGAAGCTCCTTGCGATGTTTTAAAAACAACGAATTCGGGGACCTTGGTATTTGCGATGGTTTTGGAACCAGCGAATTCGGGGACCATGGTATTTGCGATGGTTTTGGAAGCAGCGAATTCGGGGACCATGGTATTTGCGATGCTTTTGGACCTTTTGGAACCAGCGAACTCGGGGACCGTGGTATTTGCGATGGTTTTGGAAACAGCGAATTCGGGGACCATGGTGTTTGCGATGCTTTTGGGCACAGCGAATTCGGGGACCATGGTATTTGCGATGGTTTTGGAACCAGCGAGTTCGGGGACCATGGTATTTGCGATGCTTTTGGAACCAGCGAGTTCGGGGACCATGGTATTTGCGATGGTTTTGGAACCAGCGAATTCGGGGACCATGGTATTTGCCATGCTTTTGGAACCAGCGAATTCGGGGACCATGGTATTTGCGATGGTTTTGGAAACAGCGAATTCGGGGACCATGGTATTTGCGATGCTTTTGGAATGTACTACAAAAAGTCGACTTTCCAGCCACGGAAGCCCCGCGTGTCCGCGGCGTACTACGTTTCTACTACAAAAAGTCGACTTTCCAGCCACGGAAGCTCCGGGTGTCCCCGGCGTACTATACGTCTGTACTACAAAAGTCGACTTTCCAGCCATGGAAGCTCCGCGTGTCCGCGGCGTACTACGTTTGTACTAGAAAAAGTCGACTTTCCAGCCACGGAAGCTCCGCGTGTCCGCGGCGTACTGCGTTTCTACTACAAAAATCGACTTTCCAGCCACGGAAGCTCCGGGTGTCCCCGGCGTACTACATTTGTACTACAAAACTCGATTATCCAGCCACGGAAGTCCCCGGCGTACTACGTCTGTAACGCAAAAAACGCTACGGTTTTAGCAACGCGACCACGCGAAAACCCGCAGAGGGGTTACGTTTGTATGTCAAGAAACGCAAAAACACTACGGTTTTGGCACCGCGACCACGCGAAAACCCGCAGAGGGGTTGCGTTTGCATGTCAAGAAACGCAAAAACACGACGGTTTTGAAACCGCGCCAACGCCGAAACCCGCAGAGGGTTGTCTGCGCCCACGAAAAAAAGTACCAAAAACGACGGTTTTAGCGCCGCGACCCGGCGATTACCCGCAGAGGGTTGTCCGCGGACACAAAGAAACGAAAAAAAAACGACGGTTTTAGCACCGCGACCACGCCGAAACCCGCAGAGGGTTGCAATCCCGATTGGCGATGTCAACCCAGCCCGCCGCCTTAGAAAGAGTAATTTTAATTAAGAAATCTAAGACTGGGTAGTAAATCTCGTAATTTCTATTAACTTGTACTAAACTCACTTGACTCTATGCACTTCACTCTATGCAATTCACTCTATGCACTTCACTCTATGCACTTGACTCTATGCACTTGACTCTATGCACTTCACTCTATGCACTTCACTCTATGCAATTCACTCTATGCACTTCACTCTATGCACTTGACTCTATGCACTTGACTCTATGCACTTCACTCTATGCGCTTCACTCTATGCACTTCACACTATGCACTTCACTCTATGCACTTGACTCTATGCACTTCACTCTATGCACTTCACTCTATGCACTTCACTCTATGCACTTCACTCTATGCGCTTCACTCTATGCCATTCACTCTATGCACTTCGCTCTATGCACTTCACTCTATGCACTTCACTCTATGCGCTTCACTCTATGCACTTCACACTATGCACTTCGCTCTATGCACTTCACTCTATGCGCTTCACTCTATGCACTTCACTCTATGTACTTCACTCTATGCACTTCACTCTATGCACTTCACTCTATGCACTTCACTCTATGTACTTCACTCTATGTTGTTGGGTCAGAGGGCTCCGCACGGAAGAACCCTTCGCGATGCTTTCGGGAAAAGGACACGCGCCGACATGCCAAAAACACTCACTGACACGCCAAAAACACGCGCCGACATGCCAAAACACGTGCCGACATGCTAAAAATCCGCATGTTGCGCCGACATGTCAAAAGCACGCGCCGACATATCAAAAGCACGTGCCGACATATCAAAAGCACGCGCCGACATGTCAAAACCGACCCGCCGAGATAATAACTCGGGATGTTTTTTTTCATCTCGGGTCGCGTTTTTGTCATGTCGGCGCGGGCGATCCCTAGGGGTCAACAGAACCCTTGTGGCCTTGTGGCGGATGGCCACTCGCTGGCGCGCCTCTTCGCTGGAGGTGGCGTGCCATTGGTTCGAACTCACTTGCAACGATGCCGAGTACACAAGCCCCACCGGCGATGCTTTAAATGTCCTGCTGATGTTCTGCAGACATTGCAAGTTGAACTACACGGAGCTGTGACATGTGTGCCATTGTGTGCCCTAACTGCATGTAAACTTTGAAGGTTTCTGGAAGCCGCAGCTGAAAAGCGAGGAGACTTGGGCTTGTTTCCCATGCTTTACGCCCCTTTCTGTGTCTCACCTTGCACATTGCCTATAGTATGCCTCCTCCTTCGCAGAATCTGCTCCAGGAGTTCTATCTTTGGTCCGAAAGCTGCCGCAATCTTTCCGGCGAGCCACAGGAGCCACACCGACACAACCACCCTGTACTAAATGCCGGTTTAATGTCTGTGAGACAGCGGAGTTCTTTGAGAGACATTGAGAGACGCTCGGCAGTGAGTTTGGGTGTTGGAGAAGGGTTCCTGACAAGAAGCAAGTGAAGGAATATGCGCACAGCGCACGCAATTGTGCTGTAAACAATTGTAAACAGCGTGGTATAGGCGTCTTTTTGTTTCTTCCGCTGTCTTGAATCATCTTGAATCACTTGAGACAAGGGAAGCATTTTGAGAAATATAGAGAAGCTTAGAAAGGCAGCGCTGCTTTGGTTCGAGAGAAGACTTCCCCCTCACAAGGGCCCAATTCTGAAGGCGAGACTGCGATCGCATCCTGCCGTGCCTGGCGTGCCTGGCCACTCCGTGGTCATGTGGTGCGCGCAGGCTCTCCGAATCTTTCGAACTCAGCGCACTCGTCTGTACTGTTTTCGCTGCTTTCGCAAACGTTCGCAGGGCTTGGTTGACGACGTCTCGGACGGTGAGGCTCTTCACATTCCCTTGCGCTTTGCTGGGGACCCAAAGCGATGTGTGCTGCAAGCCGGAAGCCTCCTCTCTCGCCGTGCCTTCTTCTTTTCTCCTGATCTGTCAACGTCTAACTCGTGGTCTCATACGAGGGAGTTTCAGTTGGTAGTGTCTTGCTGTCGCCACGTGGGCCGTGGAGTATGGGCCACCAACCTCGAAGCACCGCGAAGCTGCACATTCAGTACTGGTCGTAGTGGCTCAGTAGTGTCTTCATCCAGCACCAAGTCCATGGAAAGCTTGCGCGCGACACAAGATCTGGATGGCTTGTCGCCAATGCAAACACAGCCAAGACGTCCCAAAACTTTTCCGGTCGGCATCGAAAGAGGCCTCGCCAGTCCAAGGCAGCTCAAACGAGCTAGAACTCTGCTGCTAGTCCAATTGGGGTGTTATGTGTCGGCCAGCAGTGTGTGAGAGTTCAGGTTTTCTGGGTCGAGAGCTGGTACATTGGAGAGCTGTTGGCAAAGGGTGACGATGCTGTCAAACTTTTCAATCTTGGCTAAAGATGCGTCAAGGAACTCATGCGCCGCGCCACCGTGTGCACGCGGCTTCACTCTTCCAATGCCTTTTTTGCTTTGCATCTCGGGGTCCGTGGGTGGAAAGTCGTGGAATTGCGGAAAAGTGCGGGAACATTGCAGTGAGTTTATGCAGCGCTTCGGTGCCCAAGGTGAGCCACAGCTGGTGGCCTCCACAGGCGACATCAGGGCTTTGAGCTGTAGGAGTGAGAGCTTTTTGCTTCGCAGGACTGGCACCAAGTGATGGGTGCAGCCCTAATTGCGCAGCCTCGAAGCCTGCGAGAGCTGCATGATGGATTCGTTGAGGTGAGAAGTGCAGCTACGAGGCTATCAAGGCGCATCCTCGGGGGGAAGTGTGGCAGGCATCATTGTGGTGCATAGTTTTTGATCCTGGAAGTGATTCGTGTAGGCTGCTGAACTCTGCATCGCTGCAAAGGCAAGCGTTTTGGGGTGTTTCCGCAAGTTTCCGAACGTTGGTAGTTCCCTCTTGTGCCTCAGGACCTTTCTGCCGAATACCTTCATGATGCGAGCCGCTGGGAAGAGGCCCAGACAACTGAGACAAGCGCCTTGTTAAAGGATGCGAGAGCTCGAGCAATGTCTATGTGGAAAGGGGGATTGCGAAAGGCACGCTTCTGGATTGACAAGTGCTGCATCCGCGCATTTGTCTGCATTGAAGAAGCAGCGAGCAGTGCGTGCGAGAAGAGACCCGCAAGACCCGAAAGACCGAGGCCAGAATGACCAGGAGTTCATGTCCTTGTCCATCCAGCTCATTGAGGCGAGAGTTCTCAGAGCGAGTTGTGAAAGACATTTGCGAGAGGGACATCCCGAAAGAAGACCAAACAAACATCCCACGCAGAGCGAGCGCGTTTTGGCTGCCCAGGAGTTCATGCAGCTCTGCCATGGAATGGTCGTGATCTTTACCTGGTCATACCTGGAACGACTCTGGCAGCATACTGAGAAAGAGAGGCCGGTGACTTCTCAGCGACTGCGCTGATGTAGAGGTGCGTTTACGAGTGGGCCTGCTTCTTGGTGTTTCACGAGCCGGCCCCTCAGATCAACACGTTGAGCATCATCGTCCCTGCCACACATTCCCACACCGCATTCCACGCTCAAGAAACGCATTCCTCCAGTCACTTCTCCCAGGCCCCACGACATGGTGATCTGTGCCGAGTCTTTGTATCGCGCGGGCACGGAGGCCCCGCCCGGCAATGTCGAAGAGTGCACCGAACGATCTTCAGCGAATTCGAACTCGCAACGATGGACTTGCTGTGTTCTTTTTGATCTCCTTACTGCTTTGTTTCTGAAGCTCATTTTGGAAGAGGAACGATTCCTGGAGTCAGTCCGACGCTTCTCTGTGGAGCAGAGCCAGTCCGATCCCAAATTGAGAATCTTTCCTTGTGCAGCGACGGTTCCCAGTGAGCGTCCTATCTCGGGGCGCCATGAGGGTTCCATGCTTATGTGACTGCGATGCCGTGTTGGAGCGAGGTGTACTGATCCGCATGATCGGAAAGTGCTCGAGCAAAAGATCAAAGAGCTCTGAGCTTACTGATCTTGGGCCGGTGAAAGCAGGTCCTGCAGCCTTTGCGGAGTTTGCGGACGGGCTGCTCTGACATGTGGAGCTCGGCAAGTCGCAGGTATTACGGATGCTGCGAGAACTTCGAGCGCTTCTTGCGTGTCTCCGCCGTGGTCCCACACACTCAAAACCTCGGGGAGTCGTTTTGCTTGAAGCTTTGCTAGGTGACCCTGTGCAGCGCCAATGTTTTTGGAGACTCCTCTGCTTAAAAGGTGATTGCCATCATCGGCCGCTGTTTGGCAGCTCGTGGGGCCGTGGCCGCAGATCTGCTGAAAAAAACTGAGAATGCATGTGTGGAGAACAAGGTGAACCTATGTGAACCCCATTAGCCCCATTATGTCTGCTTCCGACATTTGTGACGCCAGGCTCGGAACCAAACTGGGCTTTGCAAGTGGATCACCTTGGCCGACGACTTGGGCTTCCAGGACCGCCGTGAACAAAGCCGAGAGGTGCCGAGAGAGCCGAGAGATCAGAGCTAAGCAGAGCCCTTTCTCGCAAGGACTTGGCCGATGGCCTGCGCCTTGCGGAGAGCCTGGCCTGTCAATTTCTCTTTTCTTTTCTCTCTTCCGCGCTAACTCTCTGTGTGTGTGTGTGCCGCAGAGCACTAGTAACTAGTACGGAGTGAGCCCAGTTCAAGCACGCTTCAGTTTTCCCTGAGCTTAGAGCCAGGATCCAGCCGCCTGGAGGCAGCAGGCCCTGGACGAGGCGACTTGTGAAATGCGTAGAAAAGTTGTCTGCCGTGTCACGTACTGCAACATTGGAAATTCCAGCAGATGGGAGCCTGGCAGGTGGAAACCAGCCATTCGGACCTACAGAGCTGCATCAAGGAGCTCAGCATAGCTCGGAGAAACACTTTCTTTACGCTTTACCTGCTTCTAGAAATGTACTTGAGTATCGTGAACTCGGTCAGGCACAGAGCGATGCATGGTTTGCCGAGCACATCACCCCCATCCTCGCCGCCGAGCGCCGGCGTGCTGTCCCGTGGTGCGAACGAGACCTTGCTGGGCTGGGGCGACGATGAATATCGATGAATATGAACGAGTACGAGGGTCTTGCATGTCTTGTCGACCTTGTCGAGGGATTGGGTTCAAGAAAGTCCGAAGGAGTGCCTCTTAAGGCAGGAGTGCCCTTACTTGTAGCCATTTTTGCAGACCCTACTCGCAGAAATGATCCCCAAGCTGATTGTTGAGTGCTCCTCATCTGGGGCCGAAGGACTCTCCGTAGGAACGCGATCTGAAAGCAAACTTAGCAGTTTGACAAATCTGAGGTTCAGCGAAACGTCTTTCGAAGCATGCTGCTCCGTAAAAACTACGCCGCCACCTCAGCCCCGAATAGCTCGATATCCGGAACATGATCGTGTGACTCTGACTGTTTCCAGACAAGGTTCGAAAGGCACTAAGTGTCCAGGGCTGAGATGGGATTCCGGGGAAACTGTGCCGTGCGGGCTTTGGCTCACCGAAGCCCACAGTGCCAATCAAGCACTATTCGTTCCAGTGCTGTGAACGTTGAGCGTCGACCGCCTCGGCCCTGCCTCATATTGAATACAAGCAGGTCGGAGTGTCCATGGGGGATCCCACCAGCTTTGCCTTTGCGCCCTGAGGAGGGCCTGGCCGCGAGAATCGATGGATGTGGTTGCGATAGAGTTGCGCAGCAGGTTTACATTGTATTAATTTGTTGATATACACAGGACGACGATACAAAATCAAAATGGAACGAATTCTTTCACGAAAACGAGAGTGTAAAATTTGAGATTAATACATTGAAGCAAGAATTAGCGGATCATCAATCCAACGCCTTACGTTCTCAATCACAGCCAGCTTCCATGATCACAGTGGCAATGAGAATAACAACAACGAAAACGCCAATGATGATGAAAGCAACATGAGCAGTGTACTATCAACCACGAGTAACATTAACAACACAGTATCAACGTAGATAACATTGATTTGTAAAGAATATCAATAGCGATTTAACACACCAACACGACCAACACATCGAATCATGCGTGAGGAAGATCGCGCTCCACGTTGCCGACGAATGCGCTGAAAGCATGGGGTCCAGAGAGAGCTGGCGTTGCGAGGGGCGTCGGTTCATGGCATCCAAACGCAACGAAACCGCTGCGATCCACCAAACGGGGTGGGTCAAGCCGCGAGGCCCAATGGTGGCAGAGTCCCCAGGACATCCCTGATGTTCTCCATGGGGTCAAAGAGGCCAAAGAGGTCAAAGAGGTCACGCTTCGCCTGTGACGCTACACCGGCCCTAAGTTTCCCATTGGCAACCGTGCCCTTCTCCAAAACGGCAGAAAACGCGTGCAAAAGCGTGCGCCACCATCCTCAAACAAGTCTTGCGCAAGTGCCGGGTTTCAAACGATCCAAAGGGTTTTGGGGAGATCCGTCGGGGGCTCCCTGGAAGTCTTAGCAGTCTCTAGGCGGCATCTCTGCTGGTGCCGAAGGGGCCGCTTAAACGGTCCAAAAAGCAGAACTTATTTTTGTGCCTGTGCCCTGGTACTGGTAGGTCCGAGGTCATATCGATAGCATCCAGAATGAACGCAAAGGGGCATGATTGAGCAGACCTTAGGCCAAGGCCCGCTGAGACCATGAGCTTGTGAAAGTTGTGAGATGTCGGGGGCCTCTTGGGGGGTTGCACGCGACCTCCTCAGTTGGGAAACCTCTCCTTGTCTGGGGCAAAACCTTGCAAAAACCCGGTTCCGGCATGTAGGGCCATGTAGGGGCCAAAAGGAGGCTGGCATGATCTGGCATCGTGCACCGCTTAAGGACACCAGCTTCAAACGTCCGACAGCCTTCCACTCCTCCTCCCGGCTGCTTGGAGCAGGGCCGTCAGTGGAGTTTGCGTTTGCTACAGCTTGTAATGAACAGGCACGTGATTCGAAGCATCAGTACGTGGAGTGCTTTGACTCTGTGCAGAGGGGGTCCCTTTTTTCATGAGTGCCTAGGTCAGACAACTGGCCTCAGCACCTGCTACAGCATCATGAGGAAATCACGGTTCATCACGGGCCATCCCTTGCTGTTCAGAGAGGGGCATTTCGAGGTCAGAAATGAGCGAAGCGACCAAGAGCCATTGAGCTGTAGAGGCTTAGCTAAGGTTTAGCCAAGGCTTGGCCAAGGCTTAGCCAAGGCTTGGCGAAGGCTTGGCTAAGGCATGTCGGGAGCCGTGGTGCCGCTTGAAATCGCTTAGTACATCACTCCGTGCCGGAGGAGAGATCCACAAAAAGCACTTCCCCGTGGAAGCTTTCGCGTGGGAGGACCGAGAGCTCTGCCTCATCAACGTAGCCTCATAAGTGCCGTCTCAGAGTCTGCTTCTTTGCAAACTTCGTTAGTTATATTTTTTCTGTGTGTGCATGTGTGCCTTTAGAGCCTCTCGCTTGTTCAGGCGTCAGAGGAGTGTCGCTTTGGGCCGCTTCGGGAGTTCTCTTGGGGCGTGTGACAGCCTGAGAGCCCCACCTGTAAAGTTGACGGAGGGGCAGCCCGGTTCCGAATTCCGGCAGTGCTTAACGCTGGACGAGAGAACGTTGCGAGAGAACGTTGTATAGTTGTGTCGTGGTTTCGGCATCGGGACTCTGAGCCCTTCTTATTTCGTGCCGTGCTGCCGTTGCGTAGCACGTCGAGGAACCAATGCCCTCAATATCCAGCGTTCGTAGCAGCAAAAGCTTAGCTGCTAAATGCCAGCCATAGCACGTCAGCAGGCACTTCAAGCGAGAGAAGGAAGAACAAAAGAAGAGCAAACACGCAGCCAATAAACTGCGGCGCCATGCTGCACATGTCAAACTCCAGCGGAAGCCAGCGACATCAAGCAACAGTGGTCAAGCAACAGCGGCCACCGGAAACATCACAAAACAGCACGCAGCAACAACACTGTACTAAGCAGTTTGATGGGCACTGTAGGATGTGAGGGATTATGTGGGACTCTCTGAGGAATTTGAGTAGCTGAGTCTTATTCTAAGAGGCAGCCAAGAGCGACGTATGGCTTCTGCACCCACTGAATCTCACTGATAGGTCTCGTGGGCTTTGGACACCTCGGCGTTTAGTCGGTGACCGTTGGCCCGCAGGGACTTGCTTCAGGCACTGCAAGGCAGGGCGAGGCACCTTCAACTGCGTTCGGTGCATGAACTTTTAATTCATTTCGGGCTGTACCACAGCGATTCGACAAGTATTCAACAGGCAGCATTCCAGCTTTGCATCTGTGAGCTGCTGCCGCAAGATGCCAAAGTGCAACATTTTTCCCGTTATGTGAAGTTATCTGCATGGTTGGCCACTCAGCAGAACTCTCTGGAGTTCTCGATTGATTTCCGTACATTGAAGCCTAAGGTCGGACTTGCCTAGTGCAGTGGCCGAGCCGAATGCGGGCTCAGTTTGTCTAGGTACAGTCTCATTGCACCATATCTTTGCATCTGTGTCGAAGCGCCTTTGATTGGGCCGAGAATGGGCGGCCGAATGTATGCAGTCGCATGGACAAGCAGCGGAATAAAGGGTTGTTCTGGACAAGCTCTTGCAGACTTCCAAAGCCATTGTGGCAACCAACATGCCTGTCGCTCTCATGCTTTCGCTGCCCAGCGGTCCTGAGTTTTCCTGACAATCAGGGCCGCTATCGCTTGCAATCGCTTGCAATCGCCTGCTATCGCCTGCTATCGCCTGCTACCTGCTGCTTCTTGAAGTGGGGAGGCTTTTTGTGCCCAGAGCGCCGCAATTTTTAGATGCTCTGGTGCCCTGGTTGCCCCTAAGCCCTCATGAGCCCTGTAAGCAGGAGCTGCTTTCCGCAACATTACGAAGGCACCAAGAGTGCTCAGTGTCAGAGAATTTCAGAGCATGCGCTCAAGTTCTCAGAAGCGAGAGCTCGAGCAGAGATGCCGCGATTCATGTTGCATGTGTTGGCATGTGTTGATGTCTTGCGCTTTTGATTCTGCCCGCATCTCCTAGTGTTCTACGTGACGGCATGTGCCGTGCGAAAGCTAGTCGAAGCCAGTTCGTCTTGTGCCCTAGTGACGCCTCCGGGTGAAGGCTGGGGCTGAGTCGAGGCTCTGTGGACAATGCGCCACACTGCCTGCCACAAGTGCAAACAAGTGCATACAAGTGCAAACAAGTGCAAAGTGCAAACAACGAAGCAATTTTTAAGTTACCGAATCGGTCGAGGACCATCAAAGCTGGCACTGCAGGGGCCGGGGTGATTGAGCAGGATTTAGAGATGCAGCGTTTTAACACAAGTACCGAGGGCAGTCCTCTACAGCGTCTACGGTGTCTGCGGTGGCTACGGTGTCTACGGTGTCTACGGTGTCTACGAGTTACGAGTCGTTACGAGTCGTTACGAGTCGTTACGAGTCATTAGGAGTCATTAGGAGTCATTGTGAGTCAAGAAGAGTCAGCGCCTGAGCAGGGCCATTCATTGTCGCGTGTTGCATTTGTTCTACCATGTTCTACCCTTTGAAACGGTTCCTCTGACGCTTCGTGCTCGTTCCTAGCAGAAGCCAGAGTCCACGGAGTCCACGGAGTCCACGGAGTCCACAGAGGGCCCTGGGCAGGGCGTCTCAAGGACGACTCTTCTCAGGGGGCCTCCCGGGTATGTGAAAGCCGGGAATCAACGTACTTTGGCATAGACAAGCAGAGTGGCCACATGACCCGTCACCCCTGGCCACATGACCCGTCACCCCGTGCTTATGATCATGGATGGCAATACCCTGGCTAAGTATATGGCTCAGTTGGCCACTCTGCCTCACTTAAGCTCGCAGAGGCAAGGCTGAGGTGGGATTGTTTGGATCCCGCTTTCCGAGTTGAGGAAATCAGACAGAGCCCACAAAAGACGGAGGACGCAGTTCACCCTGAGCACTCCACATAAGCGCGAAGAAATAGTGAAGCATTCGCTCGTCAGGGTTCGATCTTGGAAAGCGCCGCATTTACAGCCCAACTCCCAATCAGCCTTGCAAGGTACCGCCCACCGCGACGATAAAACAGGGGCCTGCCGGTTGTTGCATCATGGGGCACGCAAGGTTGACAGCCTGTTGCGTTCCTCGCCGGCCCACGCAGCACCTGATTTCGCAGCACCTGATTTGCCGAAGCACTCGAGCTGTGCTTGCGTAGCTTTCCGGCCCCTTGCTCACTGAATGACCCGTTTCTGCTCTGGGTCTATCCATGGGGTCGCACCGATCAGTACTCCTGGTCCCGCCAGCCTGGACGTGTCGGGAACCCAGGGGCAGTTCTGTGCTTTGCGCGCAACTACGTGCACTTGCATGCAGCTTCAAACCCTCATGCGGCATGCGTGTGAGTGGTCGTGATGCAAGGCACTATGGGCTCTCATCTTGCCCAATGATCCCCGATGGACCCTCCACTGTCCGAGGTTGTCCAAGAGACCTTCGCATGGTGCAGCTGCGCTGCGCAGCAGGAGGAGCCTGAGGAGCTTCGCTTCTGAGGCGGACGCTTTGGAATGCTGGCTCTCGCTGTCGAAAGCATCAGTAGGCTCGCAAATCGGATTTGAACTAAACAAGCCAGTGTCAAAAGGCAGTGTTTCCGTTCGGGGCTGCCCCGGCCCCCTACTTAGCAAGGGCAAGGGCGCCCGATCGTAGCCACGCAACAGACAGCAAGAGATCCAGAATTCGGCGAACACTGTGATCGAAAAAGCAGCTCGAAAGCCAATCAACCCAGGATGGGAGTATCGCCTGAGCATACCGAGGGCCATAGGCCATAGGCAGACTGTAGCCGAATGCCAAAGGCACCTTCGTGAACTTCGAAAGTCTGTTTGCTGTGGCCTGGAACCATTGTGCAAGCCACCGCAAGCTTGCGGACTTGAAGCCGGTTGATTGAAACTACCCGAGTCTGTCTGCCGTGGGTTCCAGAAGTTGTCGAAGCAAGTCCTTGCAATGTGACCATGATGGTGGCAAGCCTGTAGTGGTGAACTAGAAGCTGCAGGCCAGTAGCAGGTGCAGGCCCTGAACTAGCCCGGGGAAAGCTTGTTGCTCACGCGAATCGTTTGACCAAGTCTGCCTCACTTTTCTCAAAAACTCAAAACCCCAGCCAGGTCACATGACGATGTCATGGTCCTTGTCAACCAGGTCGGCAAGACTGTGCATGGGCCTGGAGCCTGAAAAATATCCCCGACGTATCTGGCCATCCTGTCTTCAAATTTCTGGCCCGAGCAGAGTCGGAGTGTGTCGGAGTCATTTTTTGGGAGTTGTGTTTCTATCACTCCATGCAGCGACCCCGTTTCACATCTCATGATTGGTTCTGATGCACAATCTCGATGGTCTGGTGATGTTGTTTCGAAGCTGCCTACCTTCTCAGAACCCCTATACCGCTTTGTCTAGGTTTAGGGGCATCTCCGCGTGGCATCTGAGCAAGCTGCGGGTTCCGCTTCGAGTTGGGCCTGTACAGGTAAGCGACAGTGACGACGAAGGTGTTGTAGAAATCGATGCAGACTAGCTGCATGTTTAAATCGCTGGCAGAGCAGCTTGGATGTTCTGAGTGATCAAAGATGCAGAGAAAGCCTCTGTATTTCCTGATGCTCACTGATACTGTACTGCAAGTTTGGGGATCGTTGCAAGGCTGCTCTCTAGCTGCAACCTTGGCTGCGAACCCTGAAGCCTTGCCATGTAGCGGGTGGAGCAAAACACGCCGCTGCAGCCCTACATACCCCTACATATCCCTGCAGCCGTCCCCGGAATGGCCAATGCAGGGCCTCTTGACAAGCAAAAGCTCCACAAGTCAAGGACAAGGCGCCAGGCTCTCAACAGAAGTCTTGCCGTCTCCGGAAGGGCGCGTGCTGCCATTGACTTCCCTCCTTCATCCCGTGGGTCCCAAAACTTGGAATCTGACCTGAGGCCGAACTAATTGCTTTGCCGATGCGGGAGGATGTTCTGGATGACTGGCCCCTCCTTTCCTGTGCACGGGAGGCCTGGAAATCCTCTTTGGGGCTCATAAGACAAAAGGGTGCACCTTGAAGGGCACTTGCGCAGGAACGCTGTCGTCTGCATCTTCGTGCTGGATACTCGCCACAGGCGGCTGAGAGACGCAGCAATCCCCATAGAAGAAGAAGAGGGGAGCCGTAGGGGGCGGTGGGGGCAGCGCCTCAATTCATAGAAGAAGAAGAGGGGACAGGGCGATTGGACACCTCTCGAGCTGTAGGGAAGCAGCGGGGGTCGAGGCATGCATTGGACACCTCAATTCATAGAAGAAGAAGAGGGGCGAGGGCGATTGGACACCTCAATTCATAGAAGAAGAAGAAGAGGGGAGAGAGCGAGCCGTAGGGGAGGGGAATGGACACCTCAGACACCTCAATTCATAGAAGAAGAAGACGGGAGAGAGCGAGCCGTAGGGGAGGGGAATGGACGCCTCAGTTCATAGAAGAAGAAGAGGGGAGAGGGCGAGCCGTAGGGAAGGGCGGGAATGGACACCTCAGTTTTTCGGATCACGCTACCCGCGGAAACTCAGCAACCACTGCCACATTATCGGGGATGCGACGGGAACGAGACAAAGCGTTTTTTGACCGCGCCGCGCAGCCATCGGAACTTCGCAACCAAGATTTTAGGCCACAAACTATGGTTTCCAACGTTTCTATAGTTATTTCGAGCCTTGTTATCCCGCAAACCCGAAAACTCAAACACCCAAACTCTCAATTTGAAAGTTGACACGGGAACGCGAGACCTTGAACCCAGCTGGACACATGCAAGCATGGGCCGATGGTGTCTTACTGGAGGTATTCCGAATTCTCGGAATTAATGTGAAGTAACAATCGGAAGTGTTTCGAGTTTGAGTCCTGGAATACACAAGGAAGCCCGCATGTGCTACGTATGTATGTATCATCACCCAAACAGGGGGTGAGGGTTGACAGATATTGGAATGGGGCAATAGCACAAAGGGGAAGTAGTCCAAAGGGTGTGGGAAGGGCCTCCAACGCCGGTGTTCCGTTTGGGGGAGGGGGTTGGCCTGTGCTGGAGCCTTTCAACGTAGAAAATAAGAATTTGAAGGCGTGACGTGGCTGGCGTGGCGCGGGGGGGGAGCGGGCCTGGGGCGTAAGCGTCGGTGCTGGGAAAGCTGCGGAGCGTAGGCGGTGTGAAGCCGAAATTTCATCAGCTCCATCCACTCTACGTCATGTAGAAACATGGCCATAGGTCAAGGTTTCGAAGACAGACATGAGGTCCCCTGGGCATTGCTTCACGGCGCCGCTGCAGCTGCCGACACCCGTCGAGCTGTTGAGTCGGCTGAGGGTGAAAAGTGGAACATGTCCGAGCATCGAAGAGCATCGAGGAGCCTGCAAGGCAACTCCAAGAGTGATGGCACGCAAACGTGGCGCTGTGCCCTGTTTGGCCTCCAAATGGTTCCAGTCACGAAAGCTCCCCTGAGAGAGTGTCGTTCAATACAAGGGCTTCTGGGGCGAAGTTTTGGGGTGTCGGGGGGTTGAGCCGGTTGAGCAATTTTCCACCTACATCAGGCCCCGGCGGTTGCCCGGAGTGCTAGGGAGATGGGGTGCACTTTGCTGCATTCTCTTTCGGCTCTGGACTATTTTGGCGAAGGAGAGGGGGGTGAAAGCCCAGAGACGGCGCCCCCCTCCGCCCTCCGTTCGGGCCTCGGAACTCATTGTTGCCATCCTGTTTCTATGGGCATCGCCCTTGTCAGGAGAAGTTTCGGTGATGGGCATCCTTTCTGATGCCCGCTAGCTCAGCTTTGCCGTGCATGCTTAAGCCATGCTCCAATCATGGCACGTGCCTGTGAGGTAACGTGGCTCTTCCTGGCATCGCAATCAGCTGCAGCACACATCCTCAGCGCTAAGGCTGCTCACTGACATTTCGGTTGGCCTGCACGTCAGAGCTTTGGGTGCATTGCCTGGTCGGACAGGTGCTGGCTGATATCTGCGGTGCCCAGGACAGTTGAAAAGCTGAGCAAAGCTAGAGAGCAGCGACCTTCATCAGATCATGATTTGGCTTACAGGCTGTGTTGTTGCCTACAGAAGCATGTCGGTGGACATGAACGCTCGGTTCTTGCTTCTCACTGATAGAGCGCGCGCGCGTGGGTGTGTGTGTGTGTGTGTTTTTTTTTTTTGTTTGTGTGTGTGTGTGTGTGTGTGTGTGTGTGTGTTTGATTTGCTTTGCACAGATCCTGGTCCCAAAAGAGCCCACACGTCCGCAGAAGCCAATGTCATCCCAGTTAGCATCACTTGCATGAACAGAGTATTTCAGGTTCAGCTTCGGTTTCGTTGTCCAGTTTGTTGTTACCTTCAGGGCTGCGACGAAGCTTACAATACAATCCCGTGGAGGGGACCTGTCTTGCATATGCGCAACATTGCGCATGTGCTGCATAAGAGCCATGCCAGCAGCTTCCTCTTAAGACTTCGTTCAAAGACCTCGTATGCATCCCGCCACCTTACACGGTCAGGTCATCCAGGCATGTGTTAAGGCAAACAAGACCCAGCGCTGAGAGTTAAAGATATCCTGACCAGGGTGTGCAAAATTATTTGCAAAATGTCATGCATCCTGTCAAAATGTCCCCCCAAGAGATGACTCGAGCTGCAGCCGCAACGAGCAAAAGGCCCGACCTCCGCCCGAAGACACATGTTACGACTACACATACGACACCTTCTCATATCGAGCCATGCCTTCACCTTCTCGAACCCCTTCGCAGGATCTTTCCTTGTCACCTGCGAACCCATGCTTGTTTCGGCTTTTCAGCCTGGCTGGCATGCTTGACCGTTGGCTTTATGGATTCTGATAGATGCTTCCTGACGCCTTCCTTCTCTTCATCCGTTCTGCATCTGCTCTGTATCTGCTTTGTTGCCAGGTATGGCGCAGGTGTGGGACGAGTGTGTATCTCACCAGGCCAGCGGCCAGCGTCATTGACCGTGAAAGACTGGGGGTGTTCCGAGTGAGCTTGGAGTGAACATAGTGAACCTGCAGGATGAGGATGCCAAGTCCTGCCTGGCCGATGGCTGAGTGCCTTTCCCAAAATGCAAGAGGCCTTGGGGAGAAGTTCTGTGAATTTGCGTGACCCAGGAGTCTTGCTTGTCAGACGCCTACTGCGAAAACATGTGCGAGCATTCGCAAAATGCTGGAGCCCGAAGACAACGACTCATGTAAGCTTGTGCCCGAGAGCCAGTTGCTAAGGCCGAGTGTCAGGCAAAATGCTCCAAGCTTGCCGCATGCATGCAAGAGGCATGCGCCGACTAGTGCCAAGCAGTGGCAAGTAATTAGCTCACCCGCATTCACCCGCAAGACACTTTTCCTAGCCCAGCCCGGAGCCTAATCCATGCTACAGGATGCGGCGCTTCACCGCAGCGCCGAAGGGACGCGGTCAGCCGGCAAAATGATGTTGAATAGTCCCATGGTTGAAAACTGCACTAACTTCCCAGAGAGTTCAGTGTTAAATACTACTTCTTTCCATTTTCCGGTGATGAATCGAAACAAAGCGAGGTACTGTATGATGCACAACGGAAATGGACACCTTTTATTGATACGGATAGGGTTGAAGAGATTGGCACTTGAAAAGTAGCACGCGCAGTATCACCAGATAGTCAATGAAAGGGTGCAGGGCGAGAAGGCTTTGTCATACACGCTGAAGCTATCACATGTTTTGTTGAACCCGGCTGATGACAATGACAAACTGAGATGAGTCTTTGTGTAATTTGTGTAACTGCAAGTACAATTTGTGGTAAAAGTGTTGGTTCGTATGGTCACTTCTCAACTGAATATGTTATGACTCATGAAAAAGTTCCGCAATCGAACAGATGGTAATCGCATTAAACGTGTAGGGTAGGCATTTTATGGTTGAAACACCTTTTTTGAAAAGAAGGGAAGCCCAACCCTAGTGAGTAGATATGATTAACATTGTGGTTTTTGCCACATTTACTTATGCGGTGCTTCCAACCTGAAATACATGTTCAAAGCAGCGCAGAACCCCATGGCAGTACTTCATTTGTACTACAGAAGGACGATTTTGAAGGGGAAGGCGGGGTAGGGGGGGGACCCTAACAGCGCGCGCGTACAACCGCAGAGCCCCACAGCAGTACTACGTTTGTACTGCAGAAGAATGTGCATTGCAAAAGGCAGATGTCAGGGATTGTTGTGTGTTCTTGTCTCGCAGTTTATTTGTGGTTTGGAGGCATTTCTGCTTCCATCCAAAGGGTGTTTTTTGGTTTTCTACATGGGTGTTGAAACAACTCCAACGAAGGCAGCAGGCATTTCCACAAGGTTGAAAATTGGAGGCAGCTGGCAAATTGCAACAACCAATGACCCAAGCCCCTTTACAACAGCAACAGTCTGCTTTTGATGCTGGTCGCTACTGTTACTGGGTACCATTGCTGGTAGTACTTTTTGGTGCTGAGCATCTCGGCAATGCTGTTGATGCTAATTCATTCAAAACCCAATTGGGAGCCTCACCCAGCACCTGCAAACTCGGTTTGCCACTCTGTTCGTGACTTGTCCGGGTATTGAGGTGCCCAAACCGGGGAGTGTAATGCCAGGTCATGCTTCGACGGATCGATGCCGCCGGAGTCTTTGTAGCAGTCTGCATCATGCATCAGGCCTCTGCTCTATGGCTCTATGGCACTCTATGGGTCGATTGAGGACTTCCGAGGCTGACGCGTCTCCCCTTGAGGACGCTGCCGCAACTGAGTCACAACCGCCTTCAAAGTTCTCTCACATTCGCCCAGGACTGGCTGAGCCGCCCGCCTAGTATCCGGTAGATTCTGTAGGAGCCAGCCGAATTGCTTGGAGCGGCCGACGATTAGTACCGGTGACCAGAGGTTTGGCTGGTCTCGGCAAGGATGTGCAGGACATGAGCTTGCCCACAATTTGTGGAATGAAGAGTCGAGTGTGAAGTTGTGCCAGGCTGATGTCGTGGTTGTGGAAGTGGGGAGCTTGGTCTTTCGGTCCCTTTGTTCTTTCTGAATTCAAGGGCATCGTATGGCAAAATCAAAGTACGGCCTGGTGCGACAAGGCATCCTCGCCCTCGCCGGCAGTTGCTCCATCCCCATTTGCAGCTTCGACTCCGAACCAGGCCGATGTTTGGACACACATCGACTAACCAGAAACGTGCCGAAAGGAGGTGAGGGGGGGTGTTGGGCCGCCCTCCCCTCCCCACCTTTCGGCAATCCATTTTTGACAAATTTCGGTTTGGTTGGGACCTGGGACGTTTGCAGCCTTTGTTGGCAGACGTTGGTCCTTAAATTGATTTCCGAATTTCCGAAGCCCCGAAAGAGGCCACAACTGGTAACTCGTCAGCTCCAGCCAGCGCTTGAAGTTGGCCACAAAAGCCCGAATATGTCTTTTGGGCTTTTTCGGATTCGCCACTTGTCCTTGAAAGTGCATCACATATCTTGACCGTGTGTGGTGTCGACTTCTGTGGAGAGGGCTCGGAGCAAGTGATTTCAGAATGGAGCGCGAGGGCAAAGCGACAGCCTGCATCAGATAACGAAAAGAAGCGCATTCGTTTTGGGGGGTGGGGGGGTGGGGTGGGAGGGGCGCTTGTGGTCAGGGCATCTGGAAGGGACAATGACCTCCAAGAAGACGTTCAAGCAGAGGGAGTGCAGGAAAAACACAGCAAACAGGAAGGTGAGCGTTTTTGAAAGTTGAACCTCTGAGCCGCTGGAGGGGATTTCAATGATTTCAACGGCCAGGGCCATTCAGGGAGCCGAGGTGCTTTTGGTTCTGAAGAAAGTTGTGTAGTCAGTGTAGTGCATGTGCAGTGCCTTCGAGCATCCCGGTGTTATAGAGAGTGACTGAAAGCGAGAGCGAGAAGTGGAACAAAATGGTGGCCACATGGCTTCGCATGTGTCCCTGGCGATCGCTGTGAATCATTCTGCAGCCGCCGCCCCCCCCCCCCCCCCCCCCCGGAAAGTCGTTCCGAAACCTCCTTGGAAGTCAACAGAAGCTAAACTGAAAGTGAGAGAGTGAAGAGGGAGTGAGAGGATAGGATGCTCAGCATGGGGTGGCTTGGAATTGGCATGAAGTGGCATCACTGGCATACACAGCAGCAAGCGCGCGAAGGTGCTCAAGCCAATTCCGGTGGCGAGCCCGGGCCCAGGAGCTTTCCAGGCCCCGTCGCCAGAAGCCGCCATCTCCGCCTCCCCGGCTGCGGTCGCCCCGAGCCCGGCGAGCCCGGTGAGCCCGGCCAGCCCGGCGAGCCCAGCGAGCCCGGTGAGCCCGGCGAGCCCACAGACTGTTGTGGCGAGGACTCACAAGGCCGAGGGCCGAAGGTGTCTCTGCGTGCTTTTCATTGCACCTCCCAACCCGCTCTTGCACTGCTTCGAGTGTGCTGCGGCTAGGTGCGGCCGAGCGCTCCGAGCACTACGGTCCCGGCGGTCACTACCGCCCCAGCTACTCTCAGGCTCAAAGCGCTAGTGCAGCATCGGATCGTAAGTGCCGGGCAAGCAGGTGCCAAGAACTCTTTCACGTGGCGGGGTGGGGGGGG